TTTGTATTTTATATTGAAATGTTAAATATTTGATTTCAAATTCTAGTCAAACTTCTACATTTCTGAAATATTTACAATAAATTTTAAGAACAACATATCCGATGTGTCTCGTAACACTTAGAAAAAATAATACTTCATTTGCGTGCAACAAAAATCCTTCCAGTATTCATGCTGAAGGAATTCAGGAGGAATTTTAAATAGTTCTTAAAGTGCAAATGTCGTGCGATGAAAAGCAACTTTTAAGAAAACATTTCAAGTAAAAAGAATTTATTAAACAATTTGTATACAAAACTCATCTTGGCACGACAATTAAGGCAGTACAAAATAAATAAGTTAAGAAGGCACGCACGTCGGGCGTCACAAATGACAGACGTTATTCCAAAGGAACAAAGTCGGGAAAAAACTAAAAAAATATAAATAAACACAACCAGAAATGAATTTTTAATACCAAACCAAAAAAAAAAATTATTTGTCTTGAACGTGTGCTAAAAATAAAATTTAAATACATAATAAAAAATTTTAACCTGTGCACACAAAAGTCTTAAATAAAGATACAACGAAATATAAAGATAAAAATACGCTGACTGACTACTCGTATATGACTAATCGTTTGTGCGCGCTTTTCAATTTGCATTTGTCGGTCAATATTTTGAGTTCCGGACAGAAGTGTGAACATTTAGGGTGTAGAACGACACAGCCAAGCGGAGGCGGCACTTGTGATTGGAAGGAATGGAATGTCTAACACAGTTTTATTTTTCATTAAAGTAAATTTCTAATGCAATATAATTTTTAAGGTAATAGTTAATGAGAGTATTCCGAATAATCATCACATTATTTCTTACAATGGATATATATCGAAAAATTATTATATAGTGAAAAATAAACGTCCTTTGCAAAGATTTAGGTGTTATTACCAAAAATTATTTTCAGAAAAAGTGTTATTTTTAAAAGTTAAATTAATAAGGAAAAGGCAAAATTAATAAGTAGAAGGTGAGAGAGTAAAATACCATAGTCTGAGTCAATATATCACCTTAATGACATGTAACTTAAGTTAGGCTTTGCTGAATGATAATTATAATGTTAATGTTTTTAGGAGTAAAGTCGCGGTTAAAACACAGATGGATCTATGCGTGATAAGAAGCTGTTTGGCACTTATCAGTATCCTGACCTAATTTTGCCCAGTTCAGTTCTTGGTACACGTGAATGACATTATTCTTACAGGAAAACACTGTTACTGTTAAAAACTTTTTTATTGTGGACATCCTAAAATATAGGTCCCATAACCTGTTTGACTATGACGCCTTTGGTTACTTTATTCAACAGTTGAAGTCTACTAAAGTCACACTTCACTTCTTTTTTTGAACTATAGTGATGGAATCTTGTTTGTTAATGGGTAAATATTATATATATTCGCATGTTGTCTACTCAGTTAATATTGGATTAGTTTCGTAATGCGGTGATCATAATCATAATCATGGAATCATAAAAATTGAACCATTGAAATTGGCTATTAAATTTTACAAACGTTATAATTTAAATAAAGTAGTATATTGAATATATGAAAGAAAATTTATATCAATTATATTATACATTAAGACCGAAAAGTTTTCGGAAATTCTCATTTAAAATTCGCGCGCTGTATATTTTTCGATATTTTAAGTTTATGTAGTTTGGCAGCACTGTCCTTAATTACTATGCCAAAAATGAGCGCGATCTGTCAGACAGTTCGTTTACGGCAGCTGTTGAAACCAGTTCACCTCAGTAGGGCGTTGCGAAAAAAACAATGGAAAAAAATATTGAACAAAGAGTTTGCATCAAATTTTGTGTTTCGAACGAAATTTCGTGTGCAGAATCGTTGCGAATGCTACAAAAGGCTTATGGGGAATCAGTTTTATCGAAAACTCAAGTTTATGAGTGGTACAAAGCCTTCCAGGACGGTCGTACGACCGTCGAAGACATTTCGCAACGCACTACTGAGGTGAACTGGTTTCAACAGCTGCCGTAAACGAACTGTCTGACAGATCGAGCTCATTTTTGGCATAGTAATTAAGGACAGTGCTGCCAAACTACATAAACTTAAAATATCGAAAA